TTTAAAGATGAACCAACAAAACTATATATTAGAAGTTAAAGCAATGAATCTCTGTTCTCTCGTGTCAGTATTCTTTCATAAAACTACAAACTGAGGTTGTCAAGATGTTGTTTATTATTATTTTTTTCATGTGTGGACCTCTTTGTCAGTGTTGTATGATGTTATCATAATTAATGGTAATGTACTATTGTTTCTGCTAATATTGTAGAGTGTGGTCTAAATCCCAATTTAAACACATGTATGCATTTGGCAGTCACTTTTATCCAAAGTGACTTACATTGCGAGTTGTACAATTTATCAGTTCATCCATTCCTTGGGACTCGTATCGAACCCTTGACCTTGGCATTGCTCGCACCATTCTCTTCTGTTTAAGCTACAAGAAGCTTCATTGTGTAATTTGTCCAGTACGGTTTGTTCTACAGACATAAATACATTAAATACTCTTAAATTTTGATGCCATTTGATTAGGAATGAAACAGCTAATAGATAAATTCAGTAATAACCTATAATGAAAACAATTAATTGTATTACCATATAATCAGGTATGTGTGCAGTGCATGCAAAAACTATACCAGTGATGTAACTTTATAGTAACAAAACTTGGAAAAACACATGTAAATGACAGATAATCACAGAGCAACCTGCTTTGGGAAAAATGCTTGACCAAAGTTGTCAAAAACAGATAAAAACATTATTAAATACTTAAAGACGCTCACAGACAATTTAATTTTGGTTGTCCTGTCAGGTGTGTAGGCTGTTTAATGTGCTTGAGAAGTGTTTTCTCCAGCATTGAACTTACTTTTGGCAGTTTTATTTTAAAATATATTTATATATTTTTAAATAATTTTTCTAGTTTTCTATAAAATCTTTTTTTATAATGTTTATATATATATATATATATATATATAATTTTTTTTTTGATGCTCAATAGGCTGCATTTATTTGTTCAAAAACAGTAAAAATAGAAATAATGTGAAATATTACAATTTAAAATAACTTCTATTTAAATATATATAAAAAAATCTGTATCACTTACTCAGCTTTCATTGTCACATGATCTTTCAGAAATCATTCTAATATGCTAATTTGCTGCTCAAGAAACAATTCTTATTATTATCAATGTTGAACGCCCAATTTGACAATAAATAATATTTAATATTTTTTATGATAATCTTAACATTTCCATTTTTTCAGGATTCTTTGATGAATAGAAAGTTTAAAGTCACGTTTTTTCCATTCAACTACCCTACATTTACATTGTTTTTATATGTAAAATAGACATGTGCCGGTATTCAATTTTTTTGCACACTAAATATTCAAAATATTTGCATTGACCAATGAAAAACTCACAACAGATTGACCTCTAGTTGTGTTTGTAATTTTAAATCAATGGTGCTTATTCATGAAACATTAGCAGAATTGTATTTATTTATTTATTTATTTATTTAATATTTTTTATGATAATCTTAACATTTCAATTTTTTCAGAATTCTTTGATGAATAGAAAGTTTAAAGTCACGTTTTTTCCATTCAACTGCCCTACATTTACATTGTTTTTATATGTAAAATAGACATGTGCCGGTATTCGGTAATGCGATATATCACGGTAATGAATATGCACGATATTGTTATCGTGGGCACTTCAAAATACCTTGAATAATTATTTATTACAAATTATTCAGATTTTTTGAATGCATTTTAAGAATATTTTTTCAATCAACTGGTCACAATGCACAACACCGCTGTATGTTGCGTGAAAGACACATGCACACTCTCATGTAAACAAGCACGGATGAGAAGCGCATGGCTGAATGCGTGAAGGAGACGAGCTAAATGAAAACGCACATTCACTCTCTGACAGCAGATGGCGCTGAACAGCAGAAATGCAGCCATTTCCCTGGAAACCCCATAAATAAAGCAGCTGCCTACTTACAGCCATTCAGATTTTTGTATTCACAGTGGTATTCATCACAGCGCCAAATACTTAAATATTTAGACTTAATAGGCTATTTATTTTCAAACTTTTTTTTTTACATTTTAATGTGGACTACAACATGCCCTAGATATTGTTTGAAAATGTTTTGATTCTTTATTGTTTGGTCACACTTTACATTAGGGCTCTATTAATTAACAATAGTTAATTCATTAGTTAACAAACTGCCAATGAAAAATTATTCTAAACATTCATTAATCTTAGGTAATTTCAATATTTAATAACGTTGTTAAAATCAAAAGTTGCAACTGTGTTATTTAATGAACTAACAGTTGTATTTTTTAACAAATATTAATAACTTCTGTAGAAAATGTAGCTATTGCTCATTATTAATGTTAATGCAATAACTAAGGTTAACTAATGAGATCTTATTGTAAAGTGTTACTTACTGGTCTTTATAATTCTTTTGCACTTTAATCTGTGTGATTTTTTTTTACTTTATACATATTTTGTGTATTACTTTATTGTATGTATTCTTTTTGTTACAAAAAAGTTATTAAACCTGTTATACTTTATGACAACACTTTTTTTACAATTAAATTTCAATACCGTGATAATACCGTGATAAAAGCATTAGCAATTAATCGCAACATTAAATTTTGATACCGTCATATGCCTATATGTAAACATAGTTAAAACAAGTTAAACAAAAAAAAACACATCTTTTACCATAGGCCTGGGTGATAAAACGGTATCGATATTTATCGACGGTACACCTTCTTCGATGACGATATAAAAATGTTCGATTTAGTGCACAATATAGGCACATGCTATGAGTGACGCAGACAGCACATACAAACATGAACATGAGTGCTGTGCCGAGGAGGTTGTGAATAAAAAAAAAATTTATATTAGTCGACTTTAAAATATTTGCATTTCAATGCAAAAATGGTACAATCAAATGTTAGGTGTGCGTCAGGGAGCGTCATCAGTGGAGCGCGAGATGCGGTGATGATGATGTAAGTGACGTTGTAGTTTAATGTTTTGTTAGTCTAGCCCACAAAACGCGCAGTTGCTGCGTTATTAATTCAAAATATTAGATATATATAGTAGTTCAATGCATAGAACATCTTGATTGGGTTAAAACCGAAACCAAGCCATTCACACAGAACACAAATTCTGCGCATTTTAAAGACGTACAAATATGACTGCTGCACTCGCGTGTCACACAAGAGATGTATAGAAAGCCATGCAAAGTTAAAACAGTTTAAACTTTTAGAAAACACGTCACAAATCTGTGGAGGTTTATTCCTTTTCACTGCGTCTCTTATGTTTTTAAAGGCAATCTGTGTGATCGGCGATTCGGCTCTTTGTATTAAGCAATGCATAAATACGTGATGCTGTTTTGTTCATAATTGTTTATGCAATTTACGAAATTAGATTTGATTTATATGAGTTAATTTAGACGTAATGCACATTTTTTATAGACAGTTATTCCCTTGCGTTGCAATTTAATGTGCTGCATTATTTTGCTCATTAGGCCCTCCTGTGGCCTCGGGAGACAAGCCAAAAGTTTAACCTATTTAATCTGCATATAAAACATTAGAAATGAGATATTTGTTTAATTTTTATTTTATGTTTGACTGTTAAAACAAAACAACAACAAAATTGTTGTCTCAATAAATTGAGTTAATTTAAAAATACAGTGATTAAATGTAAATAATTTTTAAAAAATGTTTAAAAAAAGTAAAAAAAAAAAAGGTTATAAAAATGTCAATAATTATCGAGACCGAACGATATGAAACATTATATCGTTGATACATTTTTTAGCTATATCGCCCAGCCCTATTTCACCATTCCACTGCTTACTTTATTTATTTACTTATTTGTTTATTTAAAAAGCTCTGTGTAAATGGGCCCTAAGAATTCTTTAAAATTTCTACTTGTGTTTAATAAAGGAAGGCTTGGAATGACAATCTCATTTTCTCTTTAAGACTAGCAGTTTGATGGATTCAGCAGGCCACTCTCACAAGAGCTGGCGTGTGTTGCCACTATTTACACGAATGAAAAGTTGTGTATTATTTATGGCATTATAGTCAGCATTAACTAATGAGGCCAATTCATCCAGTCATTTTCCGCATGTACCACTGCAGTCCTGATTGTGCTTAGTAAACGCAGTGAGGGCTGGATGAGGGGTTATTCCCTCTGGTCTGGAGTGCGGCTGAGGTGTGGGTTGGTGTGATGACATTATTTACAGATGTTAGACGTGGGGGTGTGAACAGTACAGACTGCACACTGGGAACATTCAGAAACCCCCGGATCAGGTCTGTTATTTAGACACCATGAAGAGCATGAGCGAAATTGTTAGATCCCCCAGAGGAAGTCAAATATGCTGTGACATTCAGAAACAAAACTGTGGAGGCTGATGGAAAAGTGTGAGAGAAAAGAAGTGGAAAAAGACCAAATTAAGAGAGAAAATAGGATATCTGATTCATTAGTAAAGCTGGTGCACATTAAACACAATGTTTCGTATGTGGACACAATGGCAAATAATACATACAAAATTTCTCAAATTAAACAATTTTAATTATTTTACTATTATCAATAGCACTAATAATAATAATAATATTATTATTAGACGGAAAATAATTTGAAAGTTTTGATTTTGTTTATTTTATTGTATTTATATTTTATTAATAACACTAATAAATAATACTTATAATAATAATCATAATATAAACTACAAAGTATTAATGAAAATGTACTACAACATTACAAACAAACAACAAACAAATAATTCTTATAACAAATAAATAACAACATATCAAATAACAAATAACAAATTTTGTACTATAATAACAACAACAACAATAATAATAATAATACACAGTATTACTAAACTGTACTAAACAATTTCAAATATAATAAATATATAAATAAATAAATAAACCTATTTTATAATAATAATAATAATAATAAACAATATTAATTAAAATTGCACTAAAGCCATTCGAAAAATAAATGAATAAATTCATTAATTAATTAAACTCAAATTTGATAAAGTTACCTGTGGGTTCTCTGTCTCTGGTTGAGAGACGCAGTGCGTCCTGGACTGTATTGGCTGCCCAAGTGAGCTGGACTCGTCATGTAATCGTTGGGCACTGTTGGAGGTTTCACCGGCTCAAGTGTTTTATAAGGAGTGTTACGCCTGTATATGCGTTTAAAACAAACAGGCAAAAATATTAGAAACTTAAAATAATACATGATTTATGGCTTTGTTACTGAAAACTGCAGTCAGTGTCAAACTATTGTCTGATTTATCAAACTGGTCAGAAACTTTTTCATTCTTCTCACAATGAAATACATGAGGAAATCACGTCTTACCCAAGAGTGCCTCGTCCTGCCAAGGGTGGGCTGGGAGGTTTCTGTGTTGGGGGATTGGTCCTGGAGAGAGTTCCTCCTCTGATGGACTGATTGTTGCCGTGTTGCTGATTGGACAAGCAAAACATCTGTTTAAGCATTTGAACAGAGTCCGACCATCAGATTATATAAATAAGACTAAAGAAATGGAGATGAGAAGAGGGCTTTACCAGACAAAACAAAAGGTTCAGTTTGCTACTGCAAAGAATGGGCCTCATTCATGAAACTTTTGTAAATGTATGAATAATTTGCCTGTAAAATTTTAACTGTTTTATTGTTAAACGTGTACATGCTGATGAATTCCAATCAATCATGAATAGTATTGCGCATCAAGGTTGTTATTATAAAGTAACTGAAACTAAAATAATAATAAAAAACAACAACTAGAAAATGAATTAAAAACTAAAATTTAAATTTTCCAAAAAACTAAAAAAATATATTTGTTAACTAATTAATTGTGTTGCAATTTCTATTAATATTGTGAATAGTGTTATTAAAATGCAGTGTCATAATTTTGCCAAAACAAACAAACAAAAAAAAGTTCAGATGTTTTATGCACCAATAAAGCGTGGTTGAGAGCTATTTTTTTTTTAAATAAACATTTTCAAGAATCTAAACATTTACATAAGAATAGGAATTATAAATAATTAATTAATTAAATAAATAAAAAAATCTGAATAATTTGTAATAAATAATTATTCAAGGTATTTTGAAGTGCCCACGATAACAATATCATGCATATTCATTACCGTGATATATCGCATTACCGAATACCGGCACTTGTCTATTTACATACAAAAACAATGCAAATGTAGGGCAGTTGAATGGAAAAAACGTGACTTTAAACTTTCTATTCATCAAAGAATTCTGAAAAAATTGAAATGTTAAGATTATCATAAAAAATATTAAATAAATAAATAAATAAATACAATTCTGCTAATGTTTCATGAATAGGCACCATTGATTTAAAATTACAAACACAACTAGAGGTCAATCTGTTGTGAGTTTTTCATTGGTCAATGCAAATATTTTGAATATTTAGTGTGCAAAAAATTAAAATTAAATATTGTAATGATTACAATTCATTAAATTCATTGCAATTAAATAAGTAATTTTACACAATATTTTCTCAATTTAAAATAAAGACAAAAAATTATCATCAAATAACACTTATTAATAGACATTAAAACAAACACAATGGGACAACTAAGTCTTCGACAATATCAAAATGCTCAAATGAACCTCGCCGATATCAGTCTATCACTTCATCATATATTCATAGGTTTCATGTGACGTCAAACAGTGTGCTGTGCTCTGGGCTGTGATAACAGCAAATCACATTGGATTATTTACCAAGAGACGTGGATGTATGGGATTCTTTTGATTAAATATTTCTCGTAAGCATAGATGCGTTTTTATATTTTAGAATTTTAGTTAGCAAGTTCATAATGAAACTTGCAAAAGGTTAAGATCAGCGAGACTGCTGATTTGCCAGAAAACTTTCATTATGCTCCACCTAAAGCTAATAAATCAATGAGATGTTTTTGATCTTTGATCTAAGTACAGTTATGTGAGTCTAGAATGTTTACGCTGCACTAAACTTCGATCCGCAAACAAACAGATGAAGAAGAGGAGGATGATGACGACGGTCCAGCGCATACAAGGAGAAAGGTTTGTAGTTTTAGTTTCCACATTCTTATTTTTATGAATGTAACAATGTAATTACTTCAAGGATGTTAGAGCGAAGAGGATTTGTTTGCACTATTAGTATTATAATTCTATAGAAGAACGTTCTTTTCAAATAATCTCAGTTAACTGAATATATAAGCTAGTTGCAGTGATTTTTACTATGACAATGTACTGCAATCAAATTTATATGCATCAATATGTCTGAGATCATTTGCAGTAGCTGTGTCCTGCTTTTACAGTTGCTATGTAAGCAGACTTATATGTACAGGTGCTCACCACTACCAAAACACATGTAACTGACTACAACAAAACACAGAATCACAGTTTTGTTGCTACTTTAGTTGCTTTTTCACTTAGCATGTAGAGTCATACAGGAATAACTGAATATTTCTCTTAAAGGTGCTGTATGTAGGTTTTTGACTCTATTAAAGCATAAAAATACCATAATATGTTTGCAGATATTTAAGAAACATGCTAAGTTAACATACTTGTTTATCTGAAAAACAATGCTACAGTCAGTTATTCTCCTTTGAAAATGTGCGTTCCGGGCCGGAATGTCAGTCTCTGTTTTGGTTTGTGAAACCCGCCCACTGGCAGTTTATCCAATTGTATTTTCGGCACTTCGGCCAGCTGGCGGAAAACACAGCGCATTTCATTTCATTCATCGTCAAGTGCGCTCATTGCTGTTGGTGTTGTCAATCTGGCAACCTGCGTGTGCGTCCAGGAGGAGGGGCCGGGTGAAAAAACCCTCTCCAATATTTTGAATTTGGACTGCAATACCTAGTTCAACCACTCGGTGTCAATCCTACATACAGCACCTTTAA